GGATCCAGATCCTGTGCTCCCTCTGCACCGTATCCCACATGGTGATACCAGGAATTATAGTGCCAGGACACAGGGAAAGGCTTCCCACTGGGAAAGGGAGCCTTGGGGTGGGATATCGGGAAGGAATTCCTGGCTGGGAGGGTGGGGAGGGGCTGGGCTGGAATTCCCAGAGAAGCTGTGGCTGTCCCTGGATCCCTGGAAGTGTCCAAAGCCAGGCTGGAGCACCTTGAGATAGCGGAAGGTGTTAGGATTGGAATGGGATGATCCTTAAGGTCTTTTCCCACCCAAACCATTCCTGGGATTTGAGGATCAGCCCCTCCCCCTGTCCTGCTCCCATGGGCTGTGTCCATTTGGGAATGTTCTTTAATTCCTCACCTTCCTCCTCCTGGCTCCGTCTCCTCCCAACAGCGAAGACCCGGAAGATCCCAGGTACGGGATGTGGTGTCCCTGCTTCCCTGTGGGAATGGTGTGTGCATGGAAGGGAGCAGGCCATGCATGGTGTTTGGATCCAGGGAAAGGGCTTTTTCTGGGATCACCCATCCCTGGGATTCCCTCTGTCCTTCCTAATCCCAGCAGCGACAAATCTCCTTCCAGTCAGGCACTTCTGAAGGGGCTCCCAGAGTTGTGTTTGTGTTCCAAGCAATCCATGGATCCATCCATCCATCATCCATCCATCCATCCATCCATCCATCCATGGATCGATGGATCCATCCATCCATCCATGGATCCATCCTCCATCCATCCATCCATCCATCCATCCATCCATCCATCATCCATCCATCCATCCATCCATCCATCCATCCACCCATCATCCATCCATCCATCATCCATCCATCCATCCATCCATCCATCCATCATCCATCCATCCATCCATCCATCCATCCATGGATCCGTCCATCCATCCATCCATCCATGGATCCATCCGTCCATCCATCCATGGATCCGTCCATCCATCCATCCATGGATCCGTCCATCCATCCATCCCTGATCCCGTCCCTACCAGTGCTGTCCCTGTTTCCATTCCCTGCCATCCTTGGAAATCCCGGGCACAGGGATCTCTCCCTTTGGGACCCTCCTGGATTGGCTTTTTGGATTGCTCCGTGCATGTGGAGGAGTTTGGGGGCAGAGGGTGGATCAGTGTCCATCCCTGGATCACAACTCATGGAATCGCTCCTTTGGATTGCAGAGCCAAGGCCAAAGGGAAAGAGAAAAAGCACCTGGTGTTGCCGTTCAGGTATCCCAATTCCCTGATCCCTAATTCCCAGGGGCACCCTCCGCCTCTAGGCTCCAGCCCCCAGCAGCAGAATCCCCTGGGAACAGCAGCAGGGCAGGATGAGTCCATTTTCTCGAGGAAAGTGCCCCAAACTGAGTGGTTTGAGGGATAAAATGGGAATTCTCCATCTGTGCCCAGGCCAGGACTGTCTGTGGTCACCTTTGGAAGGAGAGTTGGACTGGAAGGGCCCCGGGAAAAGGAAAGGAGGGAGAGAGAGGAATTTGGCATTGGCTGCTCCACCAGGACCTTGGGAAAGGATCCTGGATCCCCCAGGAAGAGCTGATCCGAGTGCCAGGAATGCAGTGGATGCAGGAATCAGGAGAGGAAAGAGATGCAGGAAACACTTGGAGAAGGAGGAAGGGAACAGAGGAAAAAGAGGGACACGCTTGGAATGTGCTGTGTTCCTGCATCCCTCACCCAGGGCATGTTTTCCTGCCAGGAAGAGGGAAAGGATACAGGATCTGCACTTCCCTGGCCCCTCTCCCAAGGATGGATCCCAGGGATGGGACATTCCAGCCCTTCTTCCCACCCAGGGATGGATCCTCAGGGATAGGAGATCCCAGACCCTCTGCCCACCCAGAGATGGCATATTCCCAACCCTCTTTCCACCCAGGGATAGGATACCTTAGCTTCTCTTCCCATCCAGGGGTGGATCCCAGGGATGGGACATTCCCAACATTTCACCCAGGGAGGGATCCCATCCTGGCTCCAGGGAACATTCCAGCCCCTCTGCCCACCCAGGGATAGATCCCATCCTGACTCCAGGGAACATTCCAGCCCCTCTTTCCACCCCAGGGATGGATCCCATCCTGACTCCAGGGAACATTCCAGCCCCTCTGCCCACCCAGGGTAGCTTGGGTGGGGAAGGGAAGGAGGGAAGGATCCCACCCAGTGAGATCAGTGGGATGTGATTCCTGCCTTGAATCCTGGCCAGTCCATCTCCAGTGTGTCCAGCAGGACCTGGCCCAGATCCCCGAGCCCCAGGAGAAAGCCTGGAATGATTTAATTCCTCTCCTGGCAGCTTTTCCAACGCCGAGCTGGGGTTTGGTTTTCCCGGGAGAAGCTCAGCTGGCAGGGGAAGCATTTTTTCTTGCTCTGCTCCCATAGCAGGAGTCGGGACAGGGAAAAAGCAGGAATTCTTGGATCAGAGATCAGAGCAGGCTGATCCCTGCCCGTGCTGCTCTTCCCAGTTTCCCTCCCGTCTCCCGTTTTATGCTGGAGCTCCTTTGGAATGATCCCGAAACCCAAAGCCCAATATTTGATTTTTTCCCGGATGGTTTTCCAGCAGCACAGGCACAAGGAGTTGGAATTTCAGGCTTTGCAATCTGTCCCTTGTCCCCAGCCCGGCAGAGGAGCCGATGTAATTAACTCCAACCTCCTTAATTACTTCCCGAGCTGCTTAATTGCTTTCTCCTCCCTAATTGCTGCAGGACAATGAGGGCGATTAACGGGGGAGAGAGAGAGGGGAGGGAAATGGGGAGAGAAGCAGGAGCGGGGAGGAAAACAGGGAAGGAGGATTTTCCGTGAGGAAACCAGAGAGGAAAATAAATAGGGAAGAAGGACCGGGGAGAAAAATAGGAAGGAAAACAGGGAAGAAAACGGGGAGAAAAATAGGGAAGAAGGACAGGGGAGGAAATCAGGGAGGAAAACTGGGAGGAAAACAGAAAGGAAAACAGGGAGGAAAGTAAGGAGAAATATAGGGAAGAAAACGGGGAGGAAAATAGGGAAGAAAACAAGGAAGGAGGACCCGGGAGGAAATCAGGGAGGAAAATAGGGAAGAAGGACTGGGGAGGAAAACACGAGGAAAATAGGGAAACAGGACCTGGGTGAAAAACTGGGAGGAAAACAGGGAGGAAAGTAGGGAAGGAGGATCGAGGAGGAAAACAGGGAGGAAAACGAGGAAGAAAATAGGGAGAAAAACAGGGAAGGAGGACCCAAGAGGAAAACTGGGAGGAAAATAGGGAAGAAAGTAGGGAAGGAGAACTGGGGAGGAAATCAGGGAGGAAAGTAGGGAGGAAAATAAATAGGGAAGCAAGACCTGGGAGGAAAACTGGGAGGGAAACAGAAAGGAAAACAGGGAGGAAAAGAGAGAAGTAGGAGCGGGGTGGAAAGCAGAGAGGAAAATAGGGAGCAAAATGGAGAGAAGCAGGATTCAAGAGGAAAGTGGGGAACAGGACCAGGGAGGAAAACAAATAGGGAAGAAAGACTGGGGAGAAAAATAGGGAGGAAACAGGGAAGGGGGACCAGAGAGGAAAGTAGGGAGGAAAATAAATAGGGAAGAAAATGAATCGGGAAGAAGGACCAGGGAGGAAAACAGGAAAGCAGGACCTAGGAGAAAAACAGAAAGGAAAACAGGGAGGAAAAGAGAGAAGCAGGAGCAAGGTGCAAAACAGAGAGGAAAATAGGGAGGCAGGTCCAGAGAGGAAAATAGGGAGGAAAATGGAGAGAAGCAGGATCCAAGAGGAAAACAGGGAACAGGACTGGGGAGAAAAAAGAGAAGGAAAACAGGGAACAGGACCAGGGAGGAAAACAGGGAAGAAAATAAATAGGGAGGAAGGACTGGGGGGGAAAATGGGGAGAAAAACAGGGAAGCAGGGCAAGGAAGGAGAATAAGGGGGAAAAGAGATAAGCAGGAGCAGGGTGGAAAATGGAGAGGAAAAGAGGGAGGCAGGTTCAAGGAAGGGAAATAGGGAGGAAAACCGAGAGAAGCATGATCTGGGAGGAAAACAGGGAACAGGACTGGGGGAGGGAAATAGGGAAGAAGGACCGGGGAGGAAATCAGAGAGGAAAATAAATAGGAAAGAAAGACTGGGGAGAGAAACAGGGAGGAAAGCAAGGAAGCAGGACCTGGGAAGACAACAGAAAGGAAAATAGGGAGGAAAAGAGAAGTGGGACCGGGGTGGAAAACAGAGAGGAAAATAGGGAGGAAAATGGAGAGAAGCAGGATCCAAGAGGAAAACAGGGAACAGGACTGAGGAGAATAAAGAGGAGGAAAACAGGGAAGAAGGACCTGGGGAGGAAAACAGGGAGGCAGAACCTGCAGAGAGAAACATGGGAGAGAAGCAAACCAGAAGCTAGGGAGCAGAACAGGATCTCAGAGGGAAAAGGGAAGGGAAGGATTGATGTTTCCTATGTGAAGTCTGGGCAGGAATGAGGAATTCCAGATCCAGCCTGTTCTCTGCAGCACAGGCCTCTCTGGTGTGGGTATACGGATGTGTTAGGATAAGGAAAACCATTCCACTCTCCCGAAAGGAGAAGCCTTGTCGCCTGCCTAGGAGCTTCCCAAAGGCGGGAATGGAATCTGGGAATCCCATATGTCCTGCATTAACGGCCCCAAACACAAATCCTGGGAATTTCCCTCACTTCCAGCTCCAGTGCTGGGAGTCGGGGTGTCCTAAGGCATGCAAGGATGTTTTCCACCTAAATTTTAAGCTGAGAGAGAGGAAGTTTTGATGGGATATCAGGAATAGTGGAAGGTGTCCCCACCATGGCAGGGCTGGCATTATGGATCTTAAATGTCCCTTCCCAGCCAAAGCATTCCATGATTCCCTGATTCCCCAGTGCACTGAAGATTTGTTTGCTTTTATTCCCTTGATATTCCACATCCCTTCCCAGCCAAAGCATTCCATGATTCCCTGATTCCCCAGTGCACTGAAGGTTTGTTTGCCTTTTATTCCCTCGATATTCTGCCACCGGCTCCAGCAAAGGCAAGGAGAAGACCAAGGAGCACAAGTAGGTTTGATCTCCCTGCTCCTCCTCATTCCCACTTTTCCCAGCTGATCTAGTCAGTTTGATCTCCCTGCTCCTCCTCCTCCTCCTTTTCATTCCCAATTTTCCCAGCTGATCCGGTTGGTTTGCTCTCCCTGCTCCTCCTCCTCTTCATTCCTACTTTTCCCAAAAACTTGGTTCTCTTGAATGTGTGGCCTCATGTTTTGGAGCCTGCAGGGAATATTTATCTAAAAAATGAAGGAATATTGATCCAGAAAAATCTTTGGAGCCTGGCAGTGCCTGAAGGGAACTGAGAGGCCTTGAGGGATCCATAGGGATTGGATGGAGGGAGATTCCCAGGCTGGACTTCGGGCAGGAGAAGTCTGGGTGCAGACAGGACCAGACCTGTCCACCCTGGAAAAACTTGGTTCTCTTGAATGTGTGGCCTCATGTTTTGGAGCCTGCAGGGAATATTTATCTAAAAAATGAAGGAATATTGATCCAGAAAAATCTTTGGAGCCTGGCAGTGCCTGAAGGGAACTGAGAGGCCTTGAGGGATCCATAGGGATCGGATGGAGAGAGATTCCCAGGCTGGACTTAGTCAGGGCAGGAGAAGTCTGGGTGCAGACAAGACTTAGATCCAGCTTTTCTTTGGATTTCAGGAAAATGTTCTTCCCCCAGAGCTGGCTGGGCACTGGAACAGCTCCCCAGGGAATGGTGACATTCCCAAGGCCACCAGAGCTCCAGGAGCACTGGGACAGGGACAAGTTGGGATTGCTAGGGTGTCCTGGGCAGGAGTTGGATCCGTGATCCTGGTGGATCCCTTCCCACTTGGGAATTCCATGATCTGACAGCTCCTGTGCCCACATTAGGCTGCCAGGTTTCTTCAGCTGCTGCCTTCCTTTTATTGCAACAATTTTCATGGATACCAGACTGGGATGTTCCCCCCAAAACCAGATCCTCCTTCTCAAATCTAAATTTAGCTCCAGGGAATGATCCTGCAATCAGCTCAGGGGACTTCACCATCCAACAAGTCTCTCCTGGCTCCTATTCCTTGTTTTGTGGTTTAGGGATCATTTCATGGCACATCCCATGGATGGATCATCCCAAATAATGGGATGAAGCAGGAGGTGGAGATGAGGTGGAGAAGGAGGAAAATGTCCTCAAGGAGAGACAGGGTCAGGAAAAATGGGAAGAGCTCTCCCAGCTCTGGTCTTTCTTCTGGAAAGAGGAACAGAGGTATTGAGGGTTGGGATCTTCCCAAGGGTGTAGGATGGAACCAACAGTGGGATCTGTCCTCTGGAAGAATTCCTGACAGGTGGAATTCCTGCAAGGAAATGAGCCATGGGAATGCTGTTCCCTGCTCCCAACTCCCAGTTTGGGGCAGTGATTAAAATGTCCTTTCATCCATGGATAATTCACCAGTAACGGGATCGTCAGCTGGAAGCTGGCCAGGACAGAGGCTGCTCCCAAATCCCTGCTGTGGTTCCAGAATCCCTGTGGATTCTGGAGATCCCCATGGGTGAAATCCTGAAGGACAAAGCCAAGAGGAGCAGCAGTGGGTTTGTGGAACTGATCTCCAGGAGCAGAGGGTTTGTGGAGATGATCCATGCTCAATCCCATATTAGACCCCAGAAAATCCACGGGAAGAGGCAGGCTGGAATCTCTGGTGTCTAACATGGATTTAAACTTCCTTGGAAGTTCTTCCAACTCCCACTTTGGGGCAGTGATTAAAATGTCCTTTCATCCATGGATAATTCACCAGTAACGGGATCGTCAACTGGAAGCTGGCCAGGACAGAGGCTGCTCCCAAATCCCTGCTGTGGCTTCAGAATCCCTGTGGATTCTGGAGGTCCCCATGGTTGAAATCCCAAAGGATAAAGCCAAGAGGAGCAGCAGGAGGGTTTGTGGAAATGAAGATGATCCATGCTCAATCCCATATTAGACCCCAGAATATCCATGGGAAGAGGCTGGAGTCTCTGGTGTCTAACATGGATTTAAACTTCCTTGGAAGTTCTTCCCGCTCCAAATTTGCCGGAACCCAGGTGGGATGTGGTGGAGCAGCAGCGGCTTCTCTGGAGCTTGGGCTCTTCAGAAAAGCGGGAGAAGGGCAGGTGATGTCCCAGGAGGGCTCTCGGTGCCGTGGTGGCAGCTCAGGTTCCGCCGGTGTGCAGATCCTCATGGAATATTCATGTGGAGATGGTGTCAGCTCTCCGCCAGCCCCGGTGTCCCACCGGCGCCGTCGGGAGCGTGGCGGGAGCATCGGGAAGATCCCACAAAAACCCCGCTGTGCCCACGGAGGATCCCCCATCCCTGCTCCGTCCCCTCCAGCACTGGGATGGATGTCCCACCATAGAGGCTCCGTCATTCCCAGCTCGGATCTTCCAGAACCTTCTCTTGCAGGGCTGGGTGAAGGTAGAAGCCGGGATGGGAAGGGGGAGGTGTTTGGGATTGGGCAGGGCTCACCCAGCTTGGGAAAGGGACGGGAGGGGATCAGAAAGGGGTTGGGGATCGGGATGAGCCACTGGGAAGCTTCTCTGGAACTTTTGGGATGGCTCCATCTTCATCCTCATCCTGCTCCTTCCCTTCTTCCCAGCACCTGTCGAGTGCTGCCAAAATCCACCAAAAGCCGCTGTTTCAGAATTTATTTCTTTGTATCTTTTTTCCTCTTATTCCTTTTTCCATCTGTTTTTCCTGTTTGTTTGGTTTTTTTTTTTCCCCTCCCTTTTTCGTCCCCTTATTTTTCTTGGTGCTTTCTCTTGTTTGTCTGGAGTTTTTTCCTGCTTTATCTTTGGCAGGTTTTTTTTTTTAATCCCAGCAGTTTTCTTTCCTAAAGTTTTTTCTTTCCTCTATTTTTCCCCCATTTTTTTCCCGTGCTGATTCCTCCTGGGGTTTATTTCCCAAATTTTTCTGAGTATTTTTCCTTTTCTTTTTTTCTACTTTCTCCCTGTTCTTCGCTCAGGTTTTCCCCCTCTCTCCCCCATTTTATTTTCCCCTCTATATTTTTTTCCCCATTTTTTCCTTTTCTCCCCCTGCTTATTCCTCCTAGGGTTTTTTCCTTTTTTCTATTTCCTCCCTCATTCCCCTACCCCCATTTCCCCCCCATTTTTCCCCTCAATTTTTCCCTCCCTGTTTTTCATTCACATTCCCTTCCCTATTTTTTCCCCATTTATTTTCTTCCCTATTTTCCCCTCCATTTGTTCATCTCCCTTTTTTCTTTTTCCTTTTCTCTTTTCTCATTTTACCTTTTTGCAATTTTTTCATTTTCCCCTCTTTCTTTACTTCCCCTTTCCCCCTTTTTTCTTTTTTGTTACTTTTACCAATTTTCTTTATTTTCCCTTTTTCCTTTTAACCCTTTCCCCCATCTTCTTTTTCCCTTTTTTTCTTCTTTCCTCCTTTTTCCTTTCATTTTTCCCCTTCCCCCAGCACCCTTCAAACTCAATTATTCCCTTCCCATTCCTTCCCAAGTCTCCATTCCCTCCTGGGCATGGACACAGCACCTGTAGCTCCGTTCCACATTTTTATTTTCTGGATTTTCCCCTCCGATGCCCCTCATCCCGTGGATGTCCCAGAGGTTTTTTCCCATTCCCAGGTGTGTTTTTTCCACACCTTAGTTCCTTTCATTTTTCCCCTTCCCCCAGCACCCTTCAAACTCAATTATTCCCTTCCCATTCCCCTTCCCAATCTCCATTCCCTCCTGGGCATGGACACAACACCTGTAGCTCTGTTCCACATTTTTATTTTCTGGATTTTTCCCTCTGATGCACCTCATCCTGTGGGTGTCCCAGAGGTTTTTCTCCACTCCCAGTGTGTTTTTTCCACACCTTGGATCAGGTGATTAATCCCATTTTTTTTTCCACACATGACCCCAAACCTACCATCATCATTTTACTGACAGAAATATCTGAGAGACCTGAATCCTTGTTGTCCATGGATTTGGCAGCTGGGAGAGGACCCTGATGGGATTTTCCATGCAGAATCCATCACCAGCTGCTCCTCACTTTGGTTTTCCTTCCCAAGGAACCTCAGAAATTCCTGGGAACCTCAGAAATTCCCGGGGCAGGGATTTTATCAAATCCATTTAACAAATGCATTTGATAAAAATTTGATTAATTTTATCAAATCCATTTAACAAATGGCAGCTCTGGGAATTGAGGGATTTTTTTGCTCTCCATTTTTTGAGAATTTGATCGAAAAGAAAGGAATGTAATCCAACCAACCAGGAGGTGTGGCTGGAAGGAATCTCCACGGCAGGGAATGGTCTGGGAGCAGAATTCCAGAGCTTGAGCCATGATTCCAACATTTCCTCATTAAATAAATAAGTTTGAAAACAGATCCAAAGGGTCCCATCCCCCAGGTGTACCCTGATGGGATTACAGATATGGAATCCTCATCCTTAATTTTTCTCCTCCCATCCATGGAAAAAATGGAAGATCCTGGGTATAAATCACAGCTCCCAGAGGCTGGAGTGCTGCTTTAATCCCAGGTTTAAATAGTTCCTGGATCTTATTCCAGTCTCATCTCCTCCCTCAGATACTTTATTTTCCCATTCTCCTTAATTTTCTTCCCTCTTGCTCCAGCTCTCTCTGTGGCCTGGAGACTTCTGGGGGTGATTTCTGGGCATGATTTCCAACCAGAATGCAATTCCAGGGCTTTTTTGGCCTTGGGAAAAAATTCCCAAGAGTAAAACTTGACCCTTTGGCCCCATCCGGAGGTGGGATTGGGAAATCCCATAGGACCAGCATGGTTTCCTTGTGGAATGACATCCCAATCCTGCAGAGTCCAGGAGCTCTGGATCCCCTGGATCCCCTGGCCTGGCAGCCAGGTGAGGTCCTGGCTGGAGTTATGGTGGGATTGGGAAATCCCATAGGACCAGCATGGTTTCCTTGTGGAATGACATCCCAATCCTGCAGAGTCCAGGAGCTCTGGATCCCTTGGATCCCCTGGCCTGGCAGCCAGGCGAGGTCCTGGCTGGAGATTAGATTTGGGTTTGGAGGTGAGGAAAAGTCCAGGCTGGAGGTGAGAAAAATTTCAGGTTGGAGGTGACTTTTTGTCCTGCCTGAAAGTGGATGCCAGTTTGGAGGCGAGGTCCCGGCTGGAGGTGAGGTCCTGATGGAAGTTAAATCCAGGCTGGAGGTGAGGTTCAGGATGGATGTGGGGTCCAGGCTGGAGGTGAAGAAAATTTCAGGTTGGAGGTGACTTTTTGTCCTGGCTGAAAGTGGATGCCACTTTGGAGGTGAGGTCCTGGCTGGAGGTGAGATCCAGGCTGGAGGTAAGGTCCTGGTGGAAGTCAAATCCAGGCTGGAGGTGAGGTCCTGGCTGAAAATGGGGTTCATTTTGGAGCTGAGGTCCAAGCAGAAGGCGATGAAAGGTGCGGTCCCAGTTTGGAAGTGAGATCTGGTTTTGAGGTGAGGTCAAGGCAGGAGGTGAGGTCCTGATGGAAGTTAAATCCAGGCTGGAGGTGAGGTTCAGGATGGATGTGGGGTCCAGGCTGGAGGTGAGTTCCTGGTGGAAGTTAAATCCAGGCTGGAGGTGAGGTCAAGGCTGGAGGCGAGGTCCTGATGGAAGTTAAATCCAAGCCAGAGGTGAGGTCATGGTTTTGAAGTGAGGTCATGGCTGGAGGTGAAGTCCTGGCTGAAAATGGGGTTGATTTTGGAGGTGAGGTCCAAGCAGGAGGTGATGAAAGGTGCAGTCCCAGTTTGGAAGTGAGATCTGGTTTTGAGGTGAGGTCAAGGCAGGAGGTGAGGTCCTGACTGGAGGTGAGGTCAAGGCTGGAGATGAGGTCATGGTGGAAGTTAAATCCAGGCCGGAAGTTAGATCCAGGCCAGAGTTGAGGTCCTGGTTGGAGGTGAGGTCATGATTGGAGGTGAATCCTGGCTGAAAACTGGGTTCATTTTGGAGGTGAGGTCCAAGCAGGAGGTGATGAAAGGTCCCAGCTGGAGGTGAGGTCCCAGTTTGGAAGTGAGATCTTGTTTTGAGGTGAGATCAAGGCAGGAGGCGAGGTTCTGATGGAAGTTAGATCCAGGCTGGAGGTGAGGTCCAGACTGGTGGTGAGGAGGTTTATCTTGGAGGTGAAGTCCAGTTTGGGGGTGGGGTCCTGGCTGGAAGTTCCCTGTTACTTCCAAGAAAATCTCCAACAAACCTGCAAAGGTTCCTCCACTTCCAATGATGGGAATTTTCCAATTAAAAATGTTCCCCTTTCACGGGTGGAGGAATTGTTGGGGTGTCTGAATTTTGGGCTCTCTGAATTTTTGGGGCGTTTGAATTTTTGGGCTGTTTGAATTTTGGGGTGTTGGAATTTTTGGGGTGCCTGAATTTTACGGTACTTGAATTTTGGGGTACTTGAATTTTGGGTTTCTGAATTTTTAGGCATCTGAATTTTTGAGTGTCTAAATTTTGGGGTGTCTGAATTTTTCGCTGTCAGAATTTTTAGGGTGTTTGAATTTTTAGGTGTCTGAATTTTTTGGATATCTGAATTTTTTTGGTATTTGAATTTTTGGGTGTCTGGATTTTGGGGTGCTTGAATTTTTCGGGTGTTTCATTTTTAGAAGTTTCATTTTCTGGTGTCTTGGAAAAAAATTCCATGAACTTGTCGGGAGAGATGAGGAGTGGGACCCCAACCAGGACCCCCAGCAGGACTCTGCTCATGGGGAGGCAGAGTTATCCCAAGCTCCCAGGCTGAGGCATTCCCAGATAAAAAATGGGATCCAAGATTCCAGGGCTGTGAATTCCGCTCTCTATTCTGACTCTCTGGAATATTTCCTGCTCTGTTTTTCAGCTGACATTTCCTCTTTTCCTTTTGGAAAAAACCTCCTCCTCTTCCCATGTCCTAGAAAACACCAAAAAATGCAGCAATTAATGGGGATTTTTATTCTCCCTCTCTTCATCCAGAGCTGGAAAAGGAGTTTTTTCAGCCATGAAGCTTGGAAAGACACGTCCTTCCAAGGATGAGCATCGCAAACAAGGTACAGTCATGGAATGACGGTGGATTCCTGGAATTGCAGTGGTGGGAGAGGAAGGGCTGCCCGTTCCCTGGGCTCTGCACTGAGGCTGGGCTGGAATTGGACACCTCTGGAAAGGCAGGAGAGGGCAGCGACTGGAAATTCATGGCTGTTTCCATTCAGAACCGAGGATCGGTTTTCCACAGCAGAGAAAAGCAGGAATGTGCATTTACAGGGAAAAGCCTCAGTTTGGGTCGTGGTTCTAGGAAAACTTCCCCGGTTTTTCAGCCAGGTTTGAGGATAGGAAAAGAGAATTTTGCCTGGGATGCTGGCATGGAAACCTGGGTGCTCTTCCCAGAACCTGAGTGTTCCCCTCGTGGTTAAAGCTCCCAACAGGACCATGGGAAAACACCCCGGATGCAAAGGAACAGAGAGTTGGTCCCATAGAAGCCTTTCCACAGGCTGGATTTATCCATGGTCATGGAATGCTCACTGTGTGGTGTGGGCAGTGCTGCAGGGCTGGGAGGCTCCTGATCCCGACTTTTCCAGGAACCTCCCTGGGTTGGGATGGTGATTCCGACCCTTGGCCACTGGATAAGGGATGGGTGGATGTTCTACACCCGCTGCCTGCTGGCCAAGCCGGCATTCCCAACCTTCCATGTGTGCTTCCCTCCCACCCAGGCTCTTCTGCAGCTTAGATCAACTCCAACCTGGCCTTGGACACCTCCAGGGATCCAGGAGCAGCCACAGCTTCCCTGGGAATTCCAGCCCAGCCTCTCCCCACCCTCCCAGCCGGGAATTCCCTCCCAAGATCCCACCCCAAGCTCCCCTTTCCCTGTGGGAAGCCATTCCCTGGCTCCTGGGAAAAGAGAATTTTGCCTGGGATGCTGGCATGGAAACCTGGGTGCTCTTCCCAGAACCTGAGTGTTCCCCTCGTGGTTAAAGCTCCCAACAGGACCATGGGAAAACACCCCGGATGCAAAGGAACAGAGAGTTGGTCCCATAGAAGCCTTTCCACAGGCTGGATTTATCCATGGTCATGGAATGCTCACTGTGTGGTGTGGGCAGTGCTGCAGGGCTGGGAGGCTCCTGATCCCGACTTTTCCAGGAACCTCCCTGGGTTGGGATGGTGATTCCGACCCTTGGCCACTGGATAAGGGATGGGTGGATGTTCTACACCCGCTGCCTGCTGGCCAAGCCGGCATTCCCAACCTTCCATGTGTGCTTCCCTCCCACCCAGGCTCTTCTGCAGCTTAGATCAACTCCAACCTTGGACACCTCCAGGGATCCAGGAGCAGCCACAGCTCCTCTGGGAATTCCAGCCTGGCCCCTCCCCACCCTCCCAGCCGGGAATTCCTTCCCAAGATCCCACCCCAAGCTCCCCTTTCCCAGTGGGAAGCCATTCCCTGTGTCCTGTCCCTGCAGGCCTTTTCCCCAGTCCCTCTGCAGCTCTCCTGGAGCCCCTCCAGACCCTGCAAGGGGCTCTGAGCTCTCCCTGGATCCAGCTCTTCTCCAGCTGGACATTCCTAGCTCTCCCAGCCTGGCTCCATGGCCCTGAAGCAGCTCCGTGGTCTCCTCTGGAGCGACTCCAGCAGCTCCATGACCATTCCATGCTGAGGATCCCAAAGCTGGAGAAAGCAATTCCCAGCTCCTGTGACTCTGGCTCAGACTTAATCTCCTGACTGAGTCAAGGACCCCTTTCCCTCAGGAAAGGAACATTCCAGCAACTTTTTCCGATAGAAACCCAGGCATGGCGACATGCTGGTGGGATCTGCATCAGTTTTTCCTCTCAGGAATGACACATTTCTCCCATTTTTTCACCCCTCTCTCCTCAAAACCAGAGAATTGGTTGCCTTTGCAACAACTCACCCTCCCAAGATCCCACCCCAAGCTCCCCTTTCCCTGTGGGAAGCCATTCCCTGGCTCCTGTCCCTTCAGGCCTTGTCCCCAGTCCCTCTGCAGCTCTCCTGGAGCCCCTCCAGGCCCTGCCAGGGGCTTTGAGCACTCCCTGGATCCTTCCCTTCTCCAGGTGGTCATTCCCAGCTCTCCCAGCCTGGTTCCATGGCAGAGGGGCTCCAGCCCTGGAGCAGATCTGTGGTCTCCTCTGGAGCGACTCCAGCAGCTCCATGACCATTCCATGCTGAGGATCCCAAAGCTGGAGAAAGCAATTCCCAGCTCCTGTGACTCTGGCTCAGACTTAATCTCCTGACTGAGTCAAGGACCCCTTTCCCTCAGGAAAGGAACATTCCAGCAATTTTTCCGATACAAACCCAGGCATGGCGACGTGCTGGTGGGATCTGCAGCAGTTTTTCCTTTTGGGAATGACCCATTTCTTCAATTTTCACCCCTTTCTCCTCAAAACCTTCTCAAATTCTTCTCAAAAGACTTGGTTTTCTTTGCACCATCTCTTGTGCCCCTCAGATCTCCAGCTCTTCCTCAAATGCTTTTTCACCCGCTAATTAGGGGTGTTGTCATTATTCCTTATTTATCCTCCCCAAAACCCTCCACAGGAATTCTACCCAGATAGAATTCCATGTCATCTCTTTGATAACCCCTTTTCTGAGCAGGTTGTCCAAGACCCGACCTGGTCCCCATTGTTTTTGTGCTCCCAGCCGAGGGGATGGATTGGTTTCCCTTCTCCCAGCCGTTAATTATTCACCGATGGAAATTAAAACCGGAGCCATTCCTTTGTCCCCTTCCCGCAGATGATCCGGCTGTTCTGGAAACAGAAGACCTGGATAGAAAGGCCATGAGATACGGAGCAGGCCTGGAGCCAGACACCATCTCCCTGGCCTCTGTCACCGCTGTCACCACCAATGTCTCCAACAAAAGGTGAGATCCGGGGCTGGGATTGTGAGGACGGACATCCCAAAAATTAGTGATCCCTGACACAGGCAATGTTGGAAATCATGGACCCACGGAGTCAGTGGGATGCTTTTTGGAATATCTGACCTGCAGCAGCAATCACCAAAATTCTGTGGAGCTTCCCACCTCCCAAGGTTAAAGGAGTGTTGAGCCGGGGCTGGGATTGTGCTGGTGGGAGGTGAGGAAGGACATCCCAAAAATTAGTGATCCCTGACACAGGCAATGTTGGAAATCATGGACCCACGGAGTCAGTGGGATGTTTTTTTGGAATATCTGACCTGCAGCAGCGATCACCAAAATTCTGTGGAGCTTCCTAGCTCCCAGGGTTAAAGGAGTGTTGAGGTGTCGGGGTCGGCTGTTACTCGTCTCTGCCCCAGCACGGGAAAAGGTGGTTCTGGGCAGGCCGCACTTTGAAGAAGGAGTCTGGACTCTTGCTTTTCGGTCTTCAGTCGTGTTTATTGTTCCTTATCTACAAAGTTTTTCTGTCTGTCCAGCCGAGGTCTGATCAGCAAGACAGCCAAAAGCATTCTCCAACCCCGCTGTACAACACCCAAAACCCCCCTGTACAGTGCATTAAAATCTATGTTTTATCTAGTGCATATCATCCCCTCACCATTCAAACTTGAAAGTCTCTCATCTCCTCACATTCAGGTGTCATTTCTTTAGAAGGATCAAAGTCAAGCCACCAGGCACTTTTGGCAACATCCCAGGACTCCCGAATCCCCCAAGGGTTGGCTTGGTAGCTCTGGACACCCAGAGTGATGTACTGAGTTCCCACATTGAGGGTGACCCTGCTCTTGTAGTGAGAGGGACTGGGGACAAGGGATGGAGAGACAGGACACAGGGAATGGCTTCCTGCCACCAGAGGGCAGGGATGGACAGGATACTGGGAATTAGAAATTGTTCCCTGAGAGAGACTGGGATGTAATTCCTAGAGAAGCTGTGGCTGCCCCATCTCTGGAAGTGTCCCAGGCCAGGTTGGACGGAGCTTGGAGCAAGCTGGAGTGGTGGGAGTTGTCAGGCTCTGGATGATCTTTGAGGTGCCGTCCTACCCAAACCATTCTGTGATTCCATGAATTCCACCTGTGACTTGACCAAGGGTTTCTTCTGCCTCTCCCAAGGTCCAAGCCCGACATCAGGATGGAGCCGAGTGCCGGGAGGCCCATGGATTACCAGGTAGGTGACAGCAGCATGTATCCTTAAGGTCACAACCTGGGCTTGGGGACACCGTTTGTAGGGACTGAGTTCCTGGTGGGTCTCAACTCACTGGACTTAGAACCAGGACATCCCAAGAGCTGGAATTCAGGTTGGACGGGGCTTGGAGCAAGCTGGAGTGGTGGGAGGTGTCAGGCTCTGGATGATCTTTGAGGTGCCGTCCTACCCAAACCATTCTGTGATTCCATGAATTCCACCTGTGACTTGACCAAGGGTTTCTTCTGCCTCTCCCAAGGTCCAAGCCCGACATCAGGATGGAGCCGAGTGCCGGGAGGCCCATGGATTACCAGGTAGGTGACAGCAGCATGTATCCTTAAGGTCACAACCTGGGCTTGGGGACACTGTTTGCAGGGACTGAGTTCCTGGTGGGTCTCAACTCACTGGCCTTGGAACCAGGACATCCCAAGAGCTGGAATTTCACTGGTTGAGCCATAAACTCAAGATTAAGTCATTGACTGGGTTTGTTGTTCAGCATGTGAAACCCAGAGAGCCCAAATTAAGCTCTCTTTGAGGTTGTCTCCATGGAATTCCTCCTTGGAGCACTCTGGGATAGCAGAATGTATCCCTGCCCCTGGCAGGGAGTGGGATGGAATGAGATGTAAGTTCCCTCCCAACTCCAACCACCCTGTGATCCCAGTGTGGTTTCCAGCAGAAGTGAAGCCAATGGGATTGGTCTCTCTGATCCCACAGCTTGGGTTAAATCCATTGGATTTTCCAGCAGAAGTGAAGCCACTGGGTTTGGTCTCTTGATCCCACAGCTCATGTTGAATCCATTGGATTTTCCCGCAGAAGTGAAGGAAACAGGATCAGTCTCTGATCCCACAGGTCAGGTTGAATCCATTAGATTTTCCAGCAGAAGTGAAGCCAATGGGATTGGTCTCTCTGATCCCACAGCTTGGTTGAATCCATTGGATTTTTCACGTTGTGTAGAGTGCCTACATCCTAGGGGTGGAACAACTGGGATTCCTGGGATCTCCTGCATCCCACACCCTGCCAGCCGCTCCTCAGCCATGTCCCAGTGGGACCAGCAGACCCCACAGCACTGGGAATTCTCCTCAGTCAGAGGTGGGAGGGTGGGTGAAGGCAGCCTGGAGCTGCTCCCGGGATGTGGAATTTTGGGAATTCCTCTCCCCAGGTCAGCATCACCATCATCGAGGCCCGGCAGCTCGTGGGGCTCAACATGGACCCCGTGGTGTGCGTGGAGGTGGGGGAGGAGAAGAAATACACGTCCATGAAGGAATCCACCAATTGTCCTTATTACAATGAGGTGGGTCTGGCCCCGGTGCTGCTCCAACCCCTCCAGGCTACTCCACCCTTGATTTGCTGATTTCTTTTTCATCTGTGTTTTTTTGGGTTAAATTCCTGCCAGAATAAGATGAAACCTCAAACTACACAGGAGAAACAAAGCCCTTGCCTTCTGAAATTTTGTGATCAATTATTCCCAGTATTTCTGGGAATAATGGGCTACTCCATGCATGATCCCATGATTTCCTTCTTATCTGCAGAAGGAAATTTTGGGTTAATTCCTGCCAGAATAAGGTGAACCCTCAAACCACACAGCAGAAAAAAAGCCTTTGCCCTCTGGAATTTTGTGACCAATGATTCCCAGGTTTTCCAAGAAATCTGCGCTTCCCTTGGCTCCCAGCATCCCCGTTGGTGATCCATGTGGTCCCATGCTGTGTTGGGATCACATGGATCCATCCCTGCTGGGCCATGGGCACCCCACAGGCAGCCACAGCTTCTCTGGGTGTTCTCAATCCCTCTGGGCTATTCCGTCCATGATCCCATGATTTCCTTCTTATCTGCATGGTTTTTTGTGTTAAATTCCTGCCAGAATAAGATGAAACCTCAAACTACACAGGAGAAACAAAGCCCTTGCCTTCTGAAATTTTGTGATCAATTATTCCCAGTATTTCTGGGAATAATGGGCTACTCCATGCATGATCCCATGATTTCCTTCTTATCTGCAGAAGGAAATTTTGGGTTAATTCCTGCCAGAATAAGGTGAACCCTCAAACCACACAGCAGAAAAAAAGCCTTTGCCCTCTGGAATTTTGTGACCAATGATTCCCAGGTTTTCCAAGAAATCTGCGCTTCCCTTGGCTCCCAGCATCCCCGTTGGTGATCCATGTGGTCCCATGCTGTGTTGGGATCACATGGATCCATCCCTGCTGGGCCATGGGCACCCCACAGGCAGCCACAGCTTCTCTGGGTGTTCTCAATCCCTCTGGGCTATTCCGTCCATGATCCCATGATTTCCTTCTTATCTGCATGGTTTTTTGTGTTAAATTCCTGCCAGAATAAGATGAAACCTTCAAACTACACAGGAGAAACAAAGCCTTTGCCCTCTGGAATTTTGTGACCAATGATTCCCAGGTTTTCCAAGAAATCTGTTCTTCTGTTGGCTCCCCACATTCAGTGAGGGATTGGTGATCCATGTGGTCCCAGGATGAATGCTGGGATCACATGGATCCATCCCTGCTGGGCCATGGGCACCCCACAGGCAGCCACATCTTCTCTGGGGGCTTCTCAATCCCGATGAATCCCACTCCTCATAGATTCCCAGGTTTTCCAAGAAATCTGTTCTTCTGTTTGCTCCCCACATTCAGTGAGGGATTAGTGATCCATGTGGTGCCATAATTGGTGTTGGCATCACACGGATCCATCCCTGCTGGGTCATGGGCAGCCCCCAGGCAGCCACAGCTTCTTGGGGGGTTCTCAATCCCGATGGATCCCACCCCTCACCATTCCTCTTTCCCTTCCAGTATTTCGTCTTTGATTTCCACGTCCCCCCTGATGTCATGTTCGACAAAATCATCAAGCTCTCTGTAAGTGACCCCGATATCTGTGTCTTTTTCCTTTTTTGGGGGGCTTTGGAAGTAAACAACTCATTTTTGGGATGGAGTTAAGGTCCTTGATGTGAGATTCCCAACAGGAATTCTCTTCTGCAGACCCCCGGCCTGTTTTTCTCTTCCAACCCTCATTCCTGGCCCCACACAGCTCCTGCATTCTCTGTGTCCCTTCAAGAGTTATCTCTGATACTCCAGAGATCCAAACTTGCTCCCCACATTCAGTGAGGGATTAGTGATCCATGTGGTGCCATAATTGGTGTTGGCATCACACGGATCCATCCCTGCTGGGTCATGGGCAGCCCCCAGGCAGCCACAGCTTCTTGGGGGGTTCTCAATCCCGATGGATCCCACCCCTCACCATTCCTCTTTCCCTTCCAGTATTTCGTCTTTGATTTCCACGTCCCCCCTGATGTCATGTTCGACAAAATCATCAAGCTCTCCGTAAGTGACCCCAATATCCGTGTCCTTGTCCTTTTTTGGGGGGCCTTGGAAACAAGCAACCCATTTTTGGGATGGAGCTAAAGTCCTTGATGTGAGATTCCCAACAGGAATTCTCTCCAGCAGACCCCCAGTCTGTTTTTCTCTTCCAACCCTCATTCCTGGCCCCACACAGCTCCTGCATTCTCTGTGTCCCTTCAAGAGTTATCTCTGATACTCCGGAGATCCAAACCTTGGAATTTATTTATTAGAACCAAACCTTGGAATTTATTTGTTTATTCTTGTGGAGCAGAAGGACCTTCCTGAGCCTGCCAGGGAAATTCCTGGGGCATCAGAGCTGTTGTGGAAATCCAGGACTGGGAATGCTGAGAGCAAAGCTGAGATTTCAGTCCACCCAAAACCAGGAAGGTGATGGACAAGACTTCCAGATTCCCTGCCCAATTAGGGCACATTAATTAGGATCATCCATATCCATCCCGGTGCACAGACAGGCTGTACAATTTCTCCCAGTTTTCCTCAGAGTCTGAGCATTCTAAAGGTACTTTGCTCAGTTAAATATCCCAGCATTTGCTGCTGTAGTGGCTGGAAAAGGTATCTTGCTCCAAAGATTCATTTATTTGCATTTTTTGTTCACTCCAAATACAAACTTCCTGGCAATTCCACTAATCAGGACCTGCCACCCCCACCGGGCTTTTTGGTGTCCTTGAATCTTCCCCAGACCACGGAAAACTCCTCAGCTTCTTTCCCATCCCATCCTGGAGACCTCTGGAATGGCTTTGTGGCTCCCAGGTCCTGGGAGAATTCCTGAGTGGTTTCCCCCTCTTGATTTCCAGGTGATCCACTCCAAAAACCTCCTGAGGAGCGGGACATTGGTGGGGTCCTTCAAGATGGATGTTGGCACTGTTTATACCCAGCCTGGTACGTGAATGTCGTTTGTAACAATTCTCGGGCACCTGCACCTGCTCAGTGGAGTAAAATTCCCGAAAAAGGAGTCAGGCAGGGGCTGAATTCCTTGGAAAACACTTTCCCGATTTAGTGTAAATATCCAAGATAGAAAAAAGCCACCTGGACTCGCTCCTAGGTCAGGGAAGAGCTCTTGGCACCTCTGGAGAAGGGTCTGTATCCCATCTTGGAATCATGGAATCACAGAATGGTTTGGGTGTGATGGGACTTTAAAGATAATTTAATTCCACCCCTGCCATGGGCAGGGACACCTTTCATTGTCCCAGGGTGCTCCAAGCCCCAGTGTCCAGCCTGGCCTCGGACACTGACAGGGATCCAGGGATTCTCTGGGAATTCCAGCCCAGCCAGGAATTCCTTCCCAAGAGCCCACCATCCCAAGCTCCCCTTTCCCACTGGAAGCCATTCCCTGCCTCCTGGCCCTCCAACCCTTTCCCAAATTCCAGCTCTCCTGGAGCCTCTGGAAAAGGCTCCAAGGATTCCCTGGATCCTTCCCTGATCCAGCTGCACATTCCCAGCTCTCCCAGCCCTGGCATTGGATCCATCCCCATCCCAACTCCTCTCTGGGAAGAAATTTTGGGATCCAGGGTCTTCACTGGAATTCAGGACTCCAAGAATGGTCTCCCTTCCCTTTTCCATCCCCAACTTCCTTAAAAATATCTTGGGATGGGAACCTGAGCATCATTGATCCCAGAATCCCCAACACTTCCCACTACTCCAGGCTGCTCCAAACCCCATCCAACCTTTCCTTGGACACTGCCAGGGATTCTCTGGGAATTCCAGCCCAGCCAGAAATTCCTTCCCAATATCCCACAATCCCCTCTCCCAATGGAAGCCATTCCCTGGCTTCTGGCCCTGCAGCCCTTTCCCATATTCCAGCTCTCCTGGAGCCCCTTGAGGCCCTGGAAGGCACTCTGAGCTCTCCCTGGATCCTTCCAGGATTCAGGAGAGCTTCTCCAGCTCTCCCAGGTGTCCCTGAGATCCTCCTGGCTGTGCTGGTGTCCGTCCCTGCCCTGCCTTGCCCAGGAAGAAGTCCCAGGTGATATTCCCAGGCAGGACGTGAACATTCCAGACAGGAATGTCCAGGGCTGGATCCTGCCCCGCATTTCATCTCAGCCTGGAAAAGACAGAGAGGTTGATCAGAGCTGCTGATCATTGAGTCCAACCATCCCCAGCACCGCCAGGGCCACCACCACTGCCCCATGTCCCCAAGTGCCACATCCACACGGCTTTAAACCCCTCCAGGGTGGGGACTTGAGACTCCACCCCCCTCCAGCTTATCCCGTTGTTTCTCCATCTTCAACACCTTCCCAATGGATTTTCCAGGGGTTTGTTGGGATCCCTCATGCACAGGGCAGTTCCCACTCCATGGAACGCCGTGTCCTGGTGGCGTTGGCCGTGTCCGGTGGTGACAAAGGTCTCTCTTGTCCCCTGGGTTGCAGAGCACCAGTTCTACCACAAATGGGCCATCCTGTCCGACCCTGAGGACCTCACGGCAGGCCTCAAGGGCTACCTCAAGTGTGACATCGCCGTGGTAGGCAAAGGGGACAACATCAAGACCCCGCACAAGGCAAACGAGACAGAGGAGGATGATATTGAAGGGTAGGGATCTACTGGGATCCGCTTCTTCCTGGCTCCCTCGGGAATCCTTTCCACCTCTCTGTCCCTTGGGTGGGATCACAGGATGCAAACCTGGTGGCAAACCCTGAGCCATGAAAGCAGAGGGACCAATCCGGTGGTTTTCTGGGAGGGAATGCTTGGTCCTGGTGTAATTCCAGGCGATCTCCAGCACGGAGTTGTCCTTCCTGTGGGGTCAGACCATCTGTTGGTGGTTGAACTCTCCAGCAGCACCCATCCTGATGTTCCCTGATGTTCCTGATAGGCCCTGGGTGGGAAGATGGGATGGGATAATGGGATGGGGGATCATGGGAGGGGATCTCACACCCCAAGGCAGAGCAGGGAAGTCTGGATGAGGTTTCCCAGACTGTGTGTGTGCACAGGGATCTTGGACTGCCCAGAACATCTCAAAGGTCACAGAACCAAAATCAGGAGCTTTAAGGCTTTATTCCAGCCCCAAAACTTTTCCAGATAAATTAATATCTCAATTTCTAATCTGCCTCTGTGGCTCTCCCCACATGGAATCATGGGATGGTTTAGATTGGGAAAGACCTCTGGGATTGAGTGCAGCCATTAATAGTCAGAAAGCACCAGCACAGCTCTCCTGACTTGCTGGGATTTGAGGAACCACCTCCAGTACTTTGGGCTTCATCTCATGCTGTAGTGGTGATGTTCTCCTACTTATTCCTAAAGTCCTGGAGTTGTTTGTTTTGGAAGGGATCTTCAAGATCAGCTTCTTCCAACTGTCCTGCCATGGGCAGGGACACCTTCCACCGGTCAAGGAAAACTCCAGCAATTCCTAGAATTGCCCTAGAAATATTTTATTCACAGCATTCCCATTTATTCCTGCAAAGGAGGAAAGCCACCTATCCCAAAAAAACCCCAAATGAATGGAGTTAATTTCATCCCCAAAATAATCCTCCAAGCTCCCCTTGGTAAGGAAAAAGCAATTCTTCCAAAACCCCATTAATTCAATTTCTGTGGGTTGGAGTGGAAGCGGAAGGAGTCAGTGCTCGGAAAATGGAGCAGCTTTTCTCTGGTCATTTATGGAACCACAAAGGTTGGATGGAGATCATCCCATCCAACCTTCAGTCTTCCCTTGTGGAAAGGGTGACACGTGCCCCTGGCAGGGGGCTGGGGAGTCCTGGCAGGAAGCCAAAGACACTTGGGATCTCAGTCTTAACCCACAGAGCAAATTACCAACCTTGTATGAAGAATCACAAGTCACAGAAGTTTAAGTAGAGTAATAATGAATTAATCACAGGGTGAAAAGTGGAATTTTGGCGATTTTATTATAGGGGGTCTAGGAGGTGAAATGGAGGGACTTGGGCATTGTCCTATTCTTCTTCTTTCTTCTTCCTAGCCTCCATCTTCTTGGTGATGGTGGCACATTTGGATTGGTCTAAAGTAGAAGTAGACAGTCTAACATCTGAGATAGGTATTGGAAAATAATGATAAATAAAGTATATGTAACTTGTAGTATAAAATGTAGACACCAGCCCGGGGGTGGGCAGTGTGCCCTTGAGAGACCTGCAGATCAGACCTCTGCAGGTCTGAGAAAAAATATTTTAGATAATAGATAATAAACAACCTTATGAATCAGAGCCAAAGAATCCCGACTTTCTTTGGCCAGCGGGCTGGGAAAAAGGGACTCTCGGGTCATCCCAGCAGACAACCCAAGATTCCCTGACCACCCCACCCCAGCAGCTGTTCCCAACTCCATCCACTGGCATTCCAGGAACCTGCTGCTCCCTGATGGGGTGCCCCCGGAGCGGCAGTGGGCTCGGTTCTACATCAAGATCTACCGCGCCGAGGGGCTGCCGCGCATGAACACCAGCATCATGGCCAACGTCAAGAAGGCCCTCATCGGGGAGAACAAGGACCTGGTGGACCCCTACGTGCAGGTGGCCTTCGCGGGGCAGAAGGTGAGCGGGGAGCTCCCAGAGTGACCACAGGAGGTGACGCCAGCAGGTGGCCATAGATGGTCTTGGTCATCCTTGAACGTCAGGATGGACGTGATGTCAGCTGGCATGATGGGTGTGATGTCATCTCCCAGGGTGACCACAGGAGGTGACAGCAGCAGGTGGCTATAGATGGTCTCGGTCATCTTTGCATGTCAGGATGGGTGTGATGTCACCTCCCAGGGTGACCACAGGAGGTGACACCAGCAGGTGGCCGTAGATGGTCTCGGTCATCCTTGCACGTCAGGATGGACGTGGTGTCACCTGGCATGACCAGATGGGTGTGGTGTCCCCTGGCACATCAAGATTGGGGTGGTGTCACCTGGCACATCAAGATGGGCGTGGTGTCACTTGGTACATCAAGATGGGCTTAGTGTCACCTGATATGTCGAGATGGGCGTGGTGTCACTTGGTCAAGATGGGTGTGGTGTCACCTGGCATGACCAGATGGGTGTGGTGTCACCTGGCATGCTGAGATGAGCATGGTGTCACTTGGCACATCAAGAGGGGCATAGTGTCACCTGGCATGTCAGGATGGGTGTGATCACCTGGTGCATTGAGATGAGCATGGTGTCACCTGGCACATCAAGATGGGCATGGTGTCACCTGGTGCATTGAGATGGGTGTGGTGTCTCCTTGGTTTATATGGGTGTGGTGTCACCTGGCATGTTGAGATGGGCATGGTGTCACCTGGCATGTCGAGATGGGCATGGTGTCACTTTGTTCTCTCTCTCTGGGATGGGTTTGAGCCCTCTCCAGTTGAGGAGGAGAATTCTTTGCTCAGGAGAGGGCGGAGTGGGTGGAAGGGATCAGCTCGGGTGGTAAGGGATGGTTTGGGAGATCCAACCTGTTGGGAAGGATGAAAGTTTGACAAGAAACTTTCACAGATCTGCATGCTTGGCAGAAAGCTCTCAAAATGCAGAACCTGAGAACGAAATAGAGGTGGAACAAGTTTTGATATAGAAGAACAGATGTGTAAATTGACAGTTGCTGAGCCAGTCTTGCTGTACAACTATGAAAGCAAAGGTTAAGTCAATTTGGAAAGAGATTTTGTGACTTAGAGCAAAGGATAAGCTGACTGCAAACAAAAAAATGTTTTTTCCAAGCAGAAAGATACCACTGGCAAACAAACATGCCGATGTGGCAAGTAGAAAAAAGGTCTAAGAATTTTCCACTGCAAGAAAGCTGAAACACAATTTTAAGCTTAAACTGTAACATTCTAACTCATGTGATTGGATAGTATTGACCACAATATAGTAATGATAGGTCATAGGTAATACTAAAGGTATTGATTGGATGATTATGTATTAAGATGCTCAGCAAAGAAAAATATACAATGCAATGTAACCAAAACTAAAGGGTTTTCAGGCTTGTCAGCAGCTGGAGCTGACAGCTGTGGCTGTGGCTCCATCACCCACTGCTGGAAATCCAGGCTCTTTCTTGCTCCAAGGGTCAGGGTGAATAAAACTCAGGAGATGTTGTTTTTGAAGTCTCACTCTGAGGTTTATCATCCTTATGTATTACAAACTCACAAGATGTGAGCTCCCCCTTAAACGCCAGCTAAAATGGTGTCTGTTCAAGGCTATTTAAGTCCTAAACAGTTAACATAATAAACAATAAACAGTTGATATCTATATTGTTTATGCTTCTAACCAATTATGATCACCCAAAACCCGCAATGCGGATTGTCACCACACAGAGACCAGGAAAGTGGTGCCAACCATGACTGCCAAGACATTCCCTTTTCCCTCTCCACCCCCTTCCCACCTGTCCCTTCCACCCCCTCAGGTTTCCTGCCCACCTTCGGCCCCGCCTGGGTGAACATGTACGGCTCCACGCGGAATTACACCCTCATGGATGAGCACCAGGAGCTCAACGAGGGCCTGGGCGAGGGCGTCTCCTTCCGCGCCCGGCTCCTGCTGGGCCTGGCCGTGGAGATCCTGGACACCACCAATCCCGAGATCAACAGCTCCACTGAGGTGCAGGTGGAGCAGGCCACGGCGGTGGCTGACGTAAGTCCCCCGTGACGTAGGAGCGTGCCCCCTAATGACAGAGTGGCAAAACTATCTTTTGTCCCCCAAGAAAGGAAAGAAGCCCAGAAGTTTCTCTCAACGATTAGGTGAAAAGCCACCTCATAGGACCTCAGGGACTTCACCAAAAACTTGAGGACAGCTAATTGGATAGAAGCCAAAAAAGTCCCGCCTGGCCCATCAGGTAGAAAAGAGGAGAACAAAAGAGCTAAAGTGCTTTTGTGAGGTGTTTTTTACCAGGAGCAGACCTCTGCACCTGGCTTAAGTTTTTCTGTTTCTTGTTTTGCCTTTTATTAAACCTTTTTTGTTTCTAACACTGCAGCAGAAGTCATCCTGCTAATTTTATGCCCCTAAAGTAATAGCTGAGCTATCCTTGGGTGTATTATATTTCTTTTGAGGCCTTATGAGACCTGGCCCAAGAAAAAGAAACATAGTACCGTGACGCCTCAGGTGTCCCCATGACCCCACAGCATCCAGGGGGCAGTTTGGGGTCTCGGGAATATTGGATTGTTACCTTTGGTCTCATAAGTTGTGGATTGTCCTGGATCAGGAATGGTGTGGCCAGCAGGGGCAGGGAGGTTGTTCTGCCCCTGTCCCTGGCATGGTCACACCTCGAGTGCTGTGCTCATCTCTGGCCCCTCAGTTTGGGAAGGATGTTGAGGACTTGGGGAATGTCCAGAGGAGACAACGAGGCTGGAGAGGGGCTGGGAACACAAACCCTGTGAGGAACCACTGAGGGAGCTGGGGGTGCTCAGCCTGGAGAAAAGGAGACTCAGGGGTGCCCTCATCACTCTGCACAGCTCCTGAAAGGTGGCTGTGCTCAGCTGGGGCTGGGCTCTTTCTCCAGGCACTGACAGAACCAGAGCACACAGCCTCAAGCTGCACCAGGGAAATTCAGGCTGGATATCAGGAAAAAGGTTTTTCCAGCAAGGTGATGAAGTTCTGGAATGCTCTGCCCGGGGAGGTGGTGCAGTCCCCATCCCTGGGGGTGTTTAACAAAGCCTGGATGTGGCACTGGGGGCCAGGATTGAGTTGAGGTGTTGGGGCTGGATTGGACTCAATGATCTTGGAGGTCTCTTCCAACCTGGTAATTCTGTGAATTCTGTGAACTCTGTGATTTCAAGTGTTGTCCCAGCTGTTCTGCATCTCAGAGAACAATGGAAGTATTGGGTTTTAGGATCATTCCAGTTCTCACTTCCATTAGAAGCACTGGGAATGTCAGAGTGACATTGTCACTGGCACAGCGTTCCCAGAGGAGGTGTGCTGATCCACCCCTGGAAGTGTCAGTTTCAACAAGGCTTGAAGCACCCTGGGATAGAGCAAGGTGACCCTGCCCATGAAACTGGATGATCTTCAAGGTCCCTTCCCACCCAAACCATTCCATGATTTCTATAATCTCCTGAACAAAGGGATGTTTCTACATGAAGGAAATACACACGGGTAGTGACTCATTCCCTAATTCCAGTTATCCCACTCTTATCCTGATGAGTTTCAATCAGAAATCAAGAATCTAATTTATTTCCCAGCCAGGGGGAATGAAACCACCTGGAAACAGAACCATCCCAATTCCACAGGAACATCCAGACACCTGGATTTGTCTGGTTTGATCAGTTCAGGGAACTCAGGCTTGTATTCCTGAATATCCCTGAACACAGCTCAAGCTTATCTTTAATTAAAAGATATTAAAATTAAATCTTTAATTAAACACTCTCTACAACAAGCCAGGACATGGGAGACAAAACCCTCCCGGTCCCTTTGGAAAAGGCATCCCGAGGGATGGACCTGTCTCTCCCTCTGGCCCCAACCTCAGCTCTGGGATCTCTTTTTTCCTGCAGAACTGCAGCGGGAAGATGGAGGAATTCTTCCTCTTTGGAGCCTTCCTGGAGGCCACCATGATCGACAGGAAGATTGGGGACAAACCCATTAACTTTGAGGTCACCATAGGTTGGTTGTTTTTTCTGGGGGAGTGTGATGGTGGTGAAAATCAGAATCCAGAGCTGGGGGTGGGGTTTATTCCCGAGTTTCCATTCCAGCTCCTGCTAGAGCGGGCTTGGGGAGCAGGGAATGGCTCCTCCATGGGCATGAGGGATGTGGGATCCCATTTTGTGCTTGCTGGGCTGTGGCCAGTGGAGCTGATCCCTCTCTCCCATCCTGGTTTCATGCTCTGGAGATGCCAGGGAATTCCCAGGGGATCGAGAGGGGACAGGAGCAGGGCAAAAACACCTCTGCCTAATTTCCACCTCCTGGATGTGATTCCAGGAAGTCAAACTCCAACGTTCCCTGTGATTCTAGCAGAGAAAACTTCTGCCAACCCAAATTCAATCCCAGAGCTGGGAGTTATAACCCTGTGAATTGATTCAATTTCTTTTTTTTTTTTCCTTCTTCTCCTCGAGGTAACTATGGCAACCAGGTAGATGGCTCCAGCAAACCCCTCCTGAGGAGGAAGAAAGAGGGAGGGGATGGGGACGAGGAGGAGTCGGAGCTGCTCCAGAATTCCAGTGACGATGAAGGTGGCGAGGATGGAGAGCTGGTTTCTGTTTCTTCATCCCAGCCCATGAAGCCCCTGATCACTGACAGGTCAGTGTGTCCACCTGGGCATGGACAGGTCAGTGTGTTTCCCTGGGCACTGGCCAATGTGTCCACCTGGATTTATGTGGTCAGTGTGTCCACCTGGACACTGGTCAGTGTGTTCTCCTCAATTTATGTGGTCAGTGTGACCCCTGGGCTTGGACAGGTCAGTGTGTCCACCTGGGCACTGGGTCAGTGTGTCCTTTTGGTGACAGACTGGTCAGTGTTTCCACCCAGGCACTGGTCAGTGTGTCCACCTGGATTTGTGTGGTCACTGTATCCACCTGGGCACTGGGTCAGTGTGTCCACTTGGGCACAGACATGGCACAAATTCCCTGGGATCTGTGTGGTCAGTGTGTCCACCTGGTCTCAGACTGGTCAGCGTGGCCCCCAGGCATGGACAGGTCAGTGTGTCCATGTGGGCACTCGTCACTCTGTCCACCTGGGTATGGACAGGTCAGTGTGTCCACCTGGGCACTGGGTCAGTGTGTCCCTGGGCACTCGTCACTCTGTGTGTGTCCACCCAGACACTGGGTCAGTGTGTCCACCTGGATTTGTGTGGTCACTGTATCCACCTGGGCACTGGGTCAGTGTGTCCACTTGGGCACAGACATGGCACACATTCCCTGGGATCTGTGTGGTCAGTGTGTCCATGTGGTCTCAGACTGGTCAGCGTGGCCCCCAGGCATGGACAGGTCAGTGTGTCCACCTGGGCACTCGTCACTCTGTCCACCTGGGTATGGACAGGTCAGTGTGTCCCCATGGATTTGTGTGGTCACTGTGTCCACCTGGGCACCAGTCAGTGTGTCCACCTGGATTTGTGTGGCCAGTGAGTCCACCTGGATTTGTGTGGTCACTGTATCCACCTCGGCACTGTGTCAGTGTGTCCATTTGGTCACAGACTGGTCAGTGTGTCCACCCAGGCACTGGGTCAGTGTGTCCACCTGGGAACTGGTCAGTGTGTCCAGCTGGACACTGGTCAGTGTGTCCACCTGGATTTGTGTGGTCACTGTGTCCACCTGGATTTTTATGGTCACTGTATCCACCTGGGCACCGGGTCAGTGTGTCCATTTGGTCACAGACTGGTCAGTGTGTCCACCCAGGCACTGGGTCAGTGTGTCCACCTGGGAACTGGTCAGTGTGTCCACTTGGGCACTGGTCAGTGTGTCCACCTGGATTTGTGTGGCCACTATGTCCACCCGGGCACTGCTCAGTGTGTCCATCTGAATTTGCATGGTCAGTGTGTCCACCTGGGCACAGAGAGGTCAGCATGTCCACCTTGTGTGGCACCTGGGGACCGCCCTGGTTTGGGGACATGGATCAGTGGTGGCCTGGGCAGTGTTGAGATCCCAGAAGGAAAAACTGCTGGAAAAATCTGCAAATGTACCAGGCAGGAAATTGGGATAAAAATGCTCAAATCCTCTGCCTGGTGAGATGTGCCCAGGGAGATCTGGATTTGCATTCCAAGACAGATAATGGAATTTAAGACTATGAGATTCACTTAAAGTGGATTTTTATCAAGTTTCAGCAGTAGATTGGTGCTAATTGAATTCACTGATTAAATCAATTGGGAAAATAATATCCAGTGAAGACAGGTGTCTCCCTGGAATTTTCTTCCTGTTTACATCAATATCCAGCAAAGATAAATCCCCTGGAATTCCCTCCTTTGTTCCTCACCTCTTTCTCCAACTGAATCCCAAGGGGAGATGAGAAATTCCAATGTTTTGGTCCTCTCCCACCCTGTTTATCCAAAAATCTCCATCCTCTGGCAGCTGGGGAACTCAACTGCGGGGTTCTGCTGACATCTCCTGGTGGGAATACCCAGGAAGGGCTGGAGCTCGATTCGAATCCTGGTGATCCTAGGAGCAGCAGGATTCCCTTTCCAGGAGCAGCAGGATTCCCTTTCCAAGAGCAGCAGGATTCCCTTTCCAGGTGCAGCAGAGCAGGGTTCCCCTTTCCAGGTGTAGCAGGATTTTCCTTTCCAGGTTCAGCAGCATTCCCTTTCCAGGTGCTGGATCCTGGCTCACAGCCAACACTCCAAAAGTGGATCACCCTTCCTTTGGTTGTTCCAAGGACAGCTTGGGCAGGGCGTGGAGCTACTGGGAGGTTCCAGAATCCCAGAATTTTTAGGTGGAAAGGGATCTTAAAGATCCTCCAGTTCTGAACTCGACACATCCCACTGTCCCATTATTACCCGGCCCGGTAATAATTAGCATAGACTCCATGATTACAGATTAATCTTTATTAAGAGACTCATTGCTTTTATAGACAGTTACAATACAGCTGGACCTGATTGGTCCTTTAATTAAAACACAATCACCATTGGCTAATTAAGGAACCATCTTTTGGTAAACAAATCTCCATGGTGCCGGGGTCGGCTGTTACTTGTCTCTGCCCCAGCATGGGAAAAGCTGGTTCTGGGCAGGAGCACATTCCTCATGTTCACAACACCAGGTGCAGCAGGTTAAGATAAGAATTGTTTCTCATTCTTTGATCTTCTCACAGACTTTTCCCAGAACAATGCCCGGGAAAGTTGTCTGTTTCTCTGTTGCTCTCAGTGACCAGAGAGCTGCTGCCACATCCCAGATTGCTCCAAACCCTGTCCAACCCGGCCTTGGACACTCCCAGGATGGATGGGGCAGCCCCTGGGCACTGCACCCATCCATCCTGGCTTCGGGAATGGCCTTGGGTAAAACGGAGCCTCCATTCCATTAATCTTTATTAAGAAACTCATTGTTTTTATAGACAGTTACAATAGATCTAGGTGATCCCAGGTGATTCCCAGTCCAAAGCTGGACCTGATTGGTCCTTGAATTTAAACACCATCACCATTGGCTAATTAATAAACCACCTCTTGGTAAACAAATCTCCATGACACATTCCACATGTTAACAAACACCAGGTGCAGCAAGTGAAGATAAGAATTGTTTCTCATTTTTTTCTCTGATCTCCTCACAGCCTTTCCTCATGTTTCCTCACAGAATAATGCCTGGGTAAGTTGTCTGCTTCTCTCTGTGGCCAGAGAGCTGCTGCCACATCCCAGATTGCTCCAAACCCCGTCCAACCCGGCCTTGGACACTCCCAGGATGGATGGGGCAGCCCCTGGGCACTGCACCCATCCATCCTGGCTTTGGGAATGGCCTTGGGTAAAACGGAGCCTCCATTCCATCAATCTTTATTAAGAAAGTCATTGTTTTTATAGACAGTTACAATACGCCCAGGTGATCCCAGGTGATTCTCAGTCCAAAGCTGGACCTGATTGGTCCTTCAATTTAACACCATCACCATTGGCTAATTAATAAATCACCTTTTGGTAAACAAATCTCCATAGCACATTCCACATGTTCACAACACCAGGTGCAGCAGGTTAAAATAAAAATTGTTTCTCATTCTTTTCTCTGATCTCCTCACAGCCTTGCTTCATGTTTCCTCACAGAACAATGCCTGGGAAAGTTGTCTGCTTCTCTCTGTGACCACATCCCAGACTGCTCCAAACCCTGTCCAACCCGGACTTGGACACTTGCAGGATGGATGAAGCAGCCCCTGGGCACTGCACCCATCCATCCTGGCTTTGGGAATGGCCTCGGGAAAAACGGAGCTTTTTCTCTCCAGAATGCCCTCACAGCCTTTCCTCATGTTTCCTCACAGAATAATGCCTGGGTAAGTTGTCTGCTTCTCTCTGTGGCCAGAGAGCTGCTGCCACATCCCAGATTGCTCCAAACCCCGTCCAACCCAGCCTTGGACACTCCTAGGATGGATGGGGCAGCCCCTGGCACTGCACCCATCCATCCTGGCTTTGGGAATGGCCTCGGGTAAAACGGAGCCTCCATTCCATTAATCTTTATTAAGAAACTCATTGCTTTTATAGACAGTTACGATATACCCAGGTGATCCCAGGTGATTCCTAGTCCAAAGCTGGACCTGATTGGTCTTTCAATTTAAACACCATCACCATTGGCTAATTAATAAACCACCTTTTGGTAAACAAATCTCCATAGCACATTCCACATGTTCACAAACACCCGGTACAGCAAGTTAAAATGGGAATTGTTTCTCATTCTTTTCTCAGATCTGCTCACAGCCTTGCTTCATGTTTCCTCACAGAACAATGCCTGGGAAAGTTTTCTGCTTCTTTCTGTGGCCACATCCCAGATTGCTCCAAACCCTGTCCAACCCGGCCTTGGACACTCCCAGGATGGATGGGGCAGCCCCTGGGCACTGCACCCATCCATCCTGGCTTTGGGAATGGCCTTGGGAAAAACGGAGCTTTTTCTCTCCAGAATGCATCTGTGGCTGCCTCCCTCCCACTCCTGAGTCCCCGTATCCCCCTTCCCACCATGGCATTGCCTCCCAGGAGAGGGGTGGGATGGGGGCTGCTCCAGGGCCAGGATTGTCACCCTCAGGGAGCGCCTCTCCTGCCTCCTCTTGCAGGAATTACTTCCACCTGCCCTACCTGGAGAAGAAGCCCTGCATCTACATCCGGAGCTGGTGGCAGGACCAGCGGCGCCGGCTCTACAACGCCAACATCATGGACAAGATCGCGGACAAGCTGGTCAGGGGTGGACAGGGATGGACAGGGAGGGGTGGAGGGATGGGGGGACACAGCTGGGACATGGGGCTGGCACCAGGCACAGCCACAGCCAGGCTCCCTGAAAAGCAGGGACGCACTGGGTGCCAGGGTTGAGTTGAGGTGTTTGGGCTGTGTTGGACTTGATGATCTTAAAGGTCTCTTCCAACTTGGTGGTTCTGGGAATGTTGGGAATTCCCAGGGAGGTGATGGAGTCACCATCCCTGGGTGTGTTTACCAAAGCCTGGATGTGGCACTGGGGGCCAGGGCTGAGTTGAGGTGTTTGGGCTGGGTTGAACTCGATGGTCTTGGAGGTCTCTTTCAACACGGTCTTTCTGGGAATTCCGTGAATTCTGGGTGACACCTGGTGGCACCTGATGACACCGACTGTCCCTTCCCGGCTCCGAGTCTACAGTGTGAACTGGCCTCTCATCCACAGTTTTGTTGGAGATCAGCAGGAATTCCAGCATTTTCCAGGGATTTGGCCAGGCTGGCAGGGTGGAAAGGGAACCTTGGGAAGGATTCCCATGGGAATCACCTTTTCCCGCAGGCGCTTCCTGACCTTGGCTGACAAGGACCAGCACCACTCGTCCCGCACCAGGCTGGACCGGGAGAGGCTCAAATCCTGCATGCGGGAGCTGGTGAGCGGGATCCGATCCCTAAAGGGGCTCCAGGAGAGCTGGAGAGGGACTGGGGACAAGGCCTGGAGGGACAGGACACAGGGAATGGCTCCCACCGCCAGAGGGATATTGGGAACAGAATGCTTCCACGACGTTTTTCCAGTTTAGGACTGGCTCAGAGGGGGTTCTTGTCCCTCCCTGGAGCTGCAGCTGTTCCACATAAAGCAAAATGGAGGTTGTAAGAGGAAAACAAATTGTTCTTCTTTACCTTTTTCTTCCTTCTTCTTCATGAGTTTGAGTGGTATTTTGTAATTAAACAGAAAAGTCGCATTACAGATTTTGAGTGATCAGTTGTTAGATTAAAAGAGAAAATAATTTAGGTATAATTTCTTAATTAAATAGTTTGACCTTAAAAGACCTTATAACAAAAAATAGTTAAGCATTTTACACCTTACTAATAAAAAACTACAGAACTCACTGCTGTGAAGCTATAATATTAATAAAAACAAAAGACACCTAAATCTAAACAAATTATCATCTCAAATACCTTCAATCCCAATCACAAGACTACATTTTCTTCATGCCAAAAATTGGAAAAAGCCAATTTTTTATTCTCATAACTCATTTTTTATACAGTTTTACAGACCTTGTGTGTGACTCCATTTGGTTAGGAAATTTCTTGCCAATTACTTTACTGGTTAGTAAAAGGCATTTTACTTGTTTTACTTGTTTATTAACAATTCTTAAATTGTTTACAAATTTTCTTCACTGATTCTCATGGGATAGATTTAATGTCTATGCAGGTGCCAGTTGTTTTTCACCCAGGAATAGATTGTTATGTTGACGAACTGCTCACACCAGGATTGTTTCCACATGGGAACTTGCAAAGCGCTGGCTTGACAAGGCTAGATCTAAAGCAAGCCTGATTTTATGAGGCCTTTCTTCTGTAATTTTCCTATTTTACTTCATCAATAAATCCCAGTTTCTTTCCTGATGGGCTTAGCTCTGAACAGCTTTTTTGGAGTGGGAATCTCCAAACAATTCTAGTGCTTCCAGTGTGACCATTCTTCTATAATTTTTCTATTTTACTGCATCAATAAATCCCAGTTTCTTTCCTGATGGGCTTATCCCAGTTTCTTTCCTGATGGACTTATCTTTGAGCATCTTTTTGGGTGTGGGAATCTCCAAACAATTCCAGTGCCCCCAGTGTGGCCTTTCTTTTATAATTTTTCTATTTTGCTGCATCAATAAATCCCAGTTTCTTTCCTGATGGGCTTATCCCAGTTTCTTTCCTGATGGACTTATCTTTGAGCATCTTTTTGGGTGTGGGAATCTCCAAACAATTCCAGTGCCCCCAGTGTGGCCTTTCTTTTATAATTTTTCTATTTTGCTGCATCAATAAATCCCAGTTTCTTTCCTGATGGGCTTATCTTTGAGCAGCTTTTTTGGAGTGGGAATCTCCAAACAATTCCAGTGGCCCCTGGAATCCACCTTCCATGGAATCTGTTGGATTTGCCTCCAGCAGCTCTCCAGCCCCACCGGTGCCTCAGTGGTCAGATGGGCCTGCTCTTCCTCTGGAAATGCAGGGCAGGAGAAAGCTGCTCCTGTGGGAATGCAGGGGGCAAAGGCTGCTGTGCTGTTCCAGGCTCAGATTGTATCCAGGTAGGAATGCTTGGATCCTCCCCTGGGCGGAGCATCTCCCAATGGGATGGTGGAATTTTATCAGTGACACTCACTGGCCCATGAACAGAAGATAATTAATAATTAATGGCCCATGAACAGCAGAGATCTCCTGGAGGGAGGATTGGTTATGGAAGAGATAAAGAAAACTGCCCAATGAACAGAGGATAACTGCCCCACCTCTGGCAGATGGAAAATAGAACATACACCCCCAGCCACATCCTGCATTTCCAACCTAGGGCACTTAGGAAAAGGAAACCACGGTGGGAAGAGGACAATGCCTGACCCAGAGCAGTGTCATGATCCCAAAGGATCCTTGGATTTAAGGAACAGCAGCACAATGCCCCAGAGAGCTTGGGCGCTGCAGGAGGGGTCTGTCTGCCCATATTCCCGATATCCATGTGAACTCATCCATTCCTTGTTCTCAGCTCCCCGGGAAGAGGGGCTTCGGCCCTGCTGGCTGGACAGTCCAGGCCAAGATGGAGATCTACCTGTGGCTGGGCCTCAACAAGCAGCGCAAGGACTTCCTCAGTGGCCTCCCCTGTGGGTTTGAGGAGAAGAAAACCCCCCGAGGCCAAAACCTGCCCTCCTTCCCACCCATCAGCCTCCTGTACACCAGTAAGGAGTTCCCATGGGATGGGG